ACCCTCCCCCCTCCCATATTGTCCCTCACTCTACCTTTTTAGGGGTTACATTCATCCAGTGATAGAGCTCAAAACTACAATTCTGTCTCTCTCTTTGTCCCCACATCCAAACTGATCCCAAGTTGTATCACTTCCCAGAACGTTACTTCTCCTTCCCATGTCCGCTGCACTGGTTTATTCCTTCGTTAACTCGTCCAGATTACTTGTGTCCTCATTGTAACCTGCCTCTGTGCTCTTTGTTCTTGTTTCCCTACAGCCTGTCCTGCTACTGAACGAATTATGATTTCAGAAGTATCACTCCACTGTATTTGTCGTAAAATCCAAATTTACACCATTGTTTAGAACTCTCCCTGATCTGACCACAACTTACCTTTCTAATTTGTCTTTGTCTAGGTTACTCCAGATTATTTCCCATTCATTCCTGAACACATTCCTTAGAACATCCGTTTCTCATGTCCTTACTTTTGTTCTTGTCTCCTCCACTTGACATACCTTTTCCCCCCATCATCAAAATTTTACTCATCTTTCAAAAACCTGCTTATGAGTTTCCTTACACTAGGCCTCCTTAGATCCTTCTCTTCCATTCTTCTTTTATGGATTTGTCACAGCTGCTGAACTGGTATAACTAAAAGAGGATATTAAACTTCCTGACCTTGTGCTATGCCCTAGAAACCTCTGATAGTCGTGATACCCGTAACATTACTGAGTGACCAAATTCCCTGTCTACACATCAGCTTCTGCCCTATTGCACTTCAGTAATTATTCCTCCTGACCAATTTTATTCAGTGAGCATAAGCATCCCCTATTAATTCACTCTCAGAGCCTTTAAAAAGTGAAGCCTTCATAAAACAATGTTATAATAAGGGAGACAGCAACCCACAGGCCATGGACAGTATGAAGACCAGCAAAGTGTTAGTTGCTCGGTCATGTCTGACTCTTTGCAGCCCCATGGCCCCTCCAGGGCCCTCCGTCCATGGGGTTCTCCAGACAAGAGCACTGGAGTGGGCGGCCATTCCCTTCTCCAGGGGGCCTTCCTGAGCCAAGGGTGGAGCCCAAGACTCCTGAAGTTGCAGGCAGGTTCTTTACCATCTGAGCCACCACGGAAGCCTCCGAGAAAGCATGATTTTGGCTAATGTTAACTAGCAATACTGCAGGGGATGCTGAGACAAATCTTCTAGAAACAATGTAAATCACTTGGTTAGCAAAAGTATGAGGCTTGGAATAAACAGAGCCCTTTGCATACTGCCCATCTAGTATTCAAACTGAAGATATAAGGTTTATATACATGAAATGATAACCAAATAAAGCAAGCAAGTGATAACGAGTTCAGACTCTTCTTTCCAGGATTCTGGCCCATAGCAAGTATAAAAAAGAATTATGAATCCATTGAAGATCAAGTATCAACTTGATTAGTGGAGGACTCAATAACCTCCAATATGGTAGGCCCTCTGTTAGAAGCTTGGAGTACTAATGTGGACTAAGGCAGAAGTGGAACCTTCTCTCCCATAGATGGAAGAAATCCTGGATAGAAGTGCTCAGTCATGTCTGACTCTTTGTGACCCCATGGACTGTAGCCCACCAGGTTCCCTCTGTTCATGGGATTTTTCAGGCAGGAATGCTGGAGTGGGTTGCCATTTCCTCCTCCAGGGAATCTTCCAGACCCAGGAGTCAAACCTGCCTCTCCTGCATTGCAAATTCTTTACTGCTGAACCATCAGGGAAGCCCTCCCTCTCTTCCTTATTGAATGCAAATCTTAAAGCCTATGTGCTCTTCTGACCTGAGGAGAAAGTGGATCTTTAAATAGATCCATGTCCGTGTGCCTCTTTCACAGTAAAGACTGCAGACCTGCCTTGTATGCTTGGTTGCAGAAAAGAGAGTGAATGGGCTGCTCTCCTTACAGCATGATAATTAAGAAGAGCAAAGGCCCACTGGGTTTGAGAGTAGACAGTGAAAGGGAAACTAAATAGTGGGGCACAAGAGTGCTGTGTAAGAACACTGACGGAATATGACTTGTAAAACATGGTCTGCTATTCTGGATGTCAGTCAGTCAGATTTGTCATTTCCGTGGGCTCCTGGAAGCAGAAGAATTGACATAAGTGTCTTCCTCTTCAGACTGAAGAGTTGTAAACATTCTTCCCTACTCTAAGTAACAAATGAAGAATAAGCAGTATGAAAATACACAAAATGGGCCGCCTCAGGATGGAGTGATTAGGTCATTATTTAAGGGCTCATGATTTTAAAATCAGTTCTGGTTATTCTACTCTGCATAATCTCTTAACAGAGGGCCCTCCAGGCCCTCGTAATGGAAGCTTTGTATTTAGTAGGAAGCTGGAATTTGAAAAATAGGTAATTTTGATGGGCTGTGTAAACATTCTAGGCAAAGAGAACACTGAACAGAAAAGGCAGAGAAGCAGAGCGACTGAACAGTAGATTCCAGACACATCATTGATAGTTATGATCACCAGGCTAGCAAGTTCAGACTTTATTCATTAGGCAGAAATGAACCCATGAAGATTAATTATTAAGGAAGTAACCATCTAAAATATGTTTTAGAAAAAATAAAATATAATTGCTATGTGAAAGATGAATTCTGTCAAAATACTGCTCATGAACTGCATCACTGTATCTAAATTTCTTTTCATTTGTGTTCTGAGATCTTCATCTCTATAACCAGTATAGCCATGTAGAGATAACAGACATACTACTGCTCCCTGCTCCTGCGCTATGATATGTATCACATTGATCAAAGTATTGATTTTTGCCGGATCCTGAATTTGGCCTCAGAATCTTTCTCAACACAACTGTCTTGGCAACCATGATCAATTGATTACACTTCTTTGCAGGGTCTGGCATTGTAACAGAGAATGGGATTTGGATTAGATGTCCAGCACCAGTTCTACTACCTACTTAGCTGTGTGGCCTTAAACAAGGCACTCAGTTTCCCAAAACCTTAATTGTAAAATGAGACTGGTGATATTTACCTTGTGGATTATATACAAGAATTAGCTTGAGGAATTCCCCAGAGGTCCAGTGGTTAGGACTCAGTGCTTTCACTGCTGGGGCCTAGGTTCAGTCCCTTGTCAGGGAACTAAGATCCTGCAAACCATGCAGTGTGGCCAAAATTTTTAAACAAAAATTAAATAATTAGCTTAATTACTACCTTTCCCATTCACTGTTGTTTAGTTATTAAGTTGTATCTGACTCTTTTGCAATCCCATGGATGTGCACCAGACTCCTCTGTCCATGGAATTTCCAAGGCAAGAATATTGGAGTGGGTTGCTATTTCCTTCTCCAGATCTTCCCAGCCCAGGGATTGAACCTGCAACTTCTGCATTGCAGGTGGATTCTTTACTACTGAGCCACCAGGGAGGCCAACCTTTCCCATCAGTTCAGTTCAGTTCAGTTGCTCAGTTGTGTCCGACTCTTTGAGACCCCATGAATCACAGCACGCCAGACCTCCCTGTCCATCACAAACTCCCGGAGTTTACTCAAACTCATGCCCATCGAGTTGGTGATGCCATCCAGCCATCTCATCCTCTGTCATCCCCTTCTCCTCCTGCCCCCAATCCCTCCCAGCATCAGGGTCTTTTCCAATGAGTCAACTCTTCACATGAGGTGGCCAAAGTATTGGAGTTTCAGCTTCAGCATCAGTCCGTCCAGTGAACACCCAGGACTGATCTCCTTTAGGATGGACTGGTTGGATCTCCTTGCAATCCAAGGGACTCTCAGAGTCTTCTTCAACACCACAGTTCAAAAACATCAATTCTTTGGCGCTCAGCTTTCTGCACAGTCCAACTCTCACATCCATACATGACCACTGAAAAAACCACAGCCTTGACCAGACGGACCTTTGTTGGCAAAGTAATGTCTCTGCTTTTTAATATGCTATCTAGGTTGGTCGTAACTTTTCTTCCAAGGAGTAAGTGTCTTTTAATTTCATGGCTCCAGTCACCATCTGCAGTGATTTTGGAGCCCAAAAAAATAAAGTCTGACACTTTCCACTGTCTCCCCATCTATTTCCCATGAGGTGATGGGACCAGATGCCATGATCATAGTTTTCAGAATGTTAAGCATTAAGCCAACTTTTTCACTCTCCTCTTTCACTTTCATCAAGAGGCTTTTTAGTTCCTTTTCACTTTCTGCCATAAGGGTGGTGTCATCTGCATATAATTATTTAATAAATGGCAGTCTTCCTTTCTTCCACAGTACTAGCTATAGTTCTGGTAACTGAATCAATAACCTATAAAGATATTAGGGGAGCACTGGAATGCTTAAAATCTTCTATAGGTATTCCGACCAGACTCAAATGAGTTGGCAAAAGTTGTCCGTTTGGCAAACTATCTTGTAGGACAGGAAGAATATATGTGGACCATCATGAATAGGGAAATATAGGGGCTCACCATATATTACTTATTCATAGCTGCCAGTATAAACAAGGAAGGGATATTTCAGGAAGTAAGGGGTCCACATGCCTTATGGGGATACATGCCGTCTGTTGCTATTGGGTGTTTTTTCAAAGGCTTCATCTCACAAGGATCCTAAAGCCAGACAGACAAGAACTTCTGTCACCACTAGGAGTCCCCAGAGGGACATACCCTGAATATGAATGCCAGTAGACTGTCTCTTTTTTGGGGGGGCAGCTGTTGGGGGAAACACCTGCTGAAAGGCCCTGAAGGCTTATAGACAAAAGGCATGTAAGATTTGGTGTTTTCATTAGGTCATGTTGGAGTTTTAGAACTCTCTGAGAAGTATCTCATATCCATCTTCATAAAATGAAGTGTGCTATGTCATAGTAGTCATATTGACAATTATTTGTGAAGGTGAATCTTGCTTTGAAGATTCAAAAATAAGCAAATAAGATACTCCAATACCTAACTAAATTAGGTACCAAATTACATAGTACCTGGGTGTTTAAGTCATTTCTCAAGTCATGTATGAGATGCATGTTAATTTGGAATCTAATTCTTGATGATTTAATAATCACCTTTTATATCCCACAGGCATTTAGAAGAAACACACTCACTATGAACGCCAACTTCTGTATCTGCCTGATCATATTTAAGGGAACAGAAGAAATGTTTGTAATTAATCTGTGCAGTGAATAGCAGATCATAGCATAGGCAGGTGCGTGTCTAGATAAAATTTCTTGAAGCTAATTTAAACTTTCTACCCACACCAGTAGATAATCTCAACATAAATAATACATTTCTTCTTGACCCTTTAAAGTAAGCCAACATATAGAAGAGGATCTTGACTTATATTCTGTATCTGATACACTTCTGTATACTTTTGTCATTTGTGGACAGACTTATAGCTTGTATGAAAATGGCACCTTTGGTAGAGCTGCATCTTAAAACTCAGATTAAATCTAATAGTGAGTGGAAGTAGGTCCCAATTTTCCAATTTAAAGCCCTAGATTTGTACTAATTAGATTCTTTTAAAAGCTTTTAAAATTGTAAGTTTACTTTAGCTTCTACTTCATAGATGAGTTTTTATTCTAGTTATGCCTATGCTTGTAGAGTAAAAAATATTTTCAAAGTTTTAAAATTCTTACCTCTTTTATAAAATGCTGGAATGCATTTTTCAGTGCAGATATTTAAATGTGAGGTTGTTTTTAAACTACACAGAATCTCCTGAATATAAAGAAAAGACCTCATCTGGGACAGTATGTGATTCCCTCCACATTTTGAAGCATCCGATTTTTAATTTTCTACAGTGTTGTTTTTTATCATCTATTTGTGCTCTCACAAAATAAAGGGGAAGAGTGAATCACAAAGTGTTATAACTTGATAGCACTTTTTTTTTTTCATACTTCTGCACCTTTCTTTGACCATTTCCATAGGGGGTAAAATGCTATTCCCTTGGGATTCACCCCAAGTCTTGGCAAAATTTGTATATTACCATGTCATTTAATTCACTGTATTATGAAAATAAAAATACTATGTGAAAACTGTGAAAGAAAATTTAACAAGTTAAAGTTGAAACTAACTTTCCACTTAGAGAAATTTCAGATTTGCCTCTTAAAATGAAAATGAATTATTTTTTAAAACTATTAATTGAAATAACTAAATAGTAACTCAATTTATAAAACTAATTGCCTTCACTAATTATTTTATTGGGGCAATCTAAATAATATTTTTAAGATAATCTGATAAATATTAAGAATACTTTGTGATATACTCCTAATAATGAGAGTACCTAAAATATACCAAAAAGGTTAATTTGTGTTCCAGCATTGAAAACTAACCTCAGAATGTAAACCAAAACATATAAAGACACCTACATTAGTCAGGAAATGAAGGGTTAAGAAGTAAGATTGGTTTCATATGTAATTCAAGTTATGTAGCTATGTGCTTAATGCTGTTAAATCAGTTACTGTATGTTTGACCTCTTGATATACCAAGCTTTTGCCTTTCAGAACAGCTGGGTTGGCTAAGAATCATTTCCCAGTTCTTTTCTTTGTAGATCAGATGACTCTCGCTTTATCACCCTTGGAGGCCACATGAAGGACAAAGCAGAAAGATCCACACACAAAACTAATGTTTATATGGAGGTGGTGTGGGGGGAGGAAGGCAAAAGGCGGGGGATACACTTGGCCCTGATCTTCCAATAAACATAACAGAAGGACCAATTGAGACTTGAAACCATTGTGTTACTCCAACCATTATTTAGTTACATCCTATCCATCTCTTGCTCTCTTTCTATTGAACAGAGAGGCTCCTTTGACTGCCTTGACTTTTGTAAATGTTTCACTCACTTAGTTGTGGTTTATCATTTGGACAGAATGCTACATTGGGGATTTTTCTCCCCTCCCTAAGGCTTCAAGGCAAAATGACTTCTGTTGCCTCATAGTTGATACATGAACATACAGTGTATTCTCTTCATTTTAAGAATCAAACCTAAGTTTATGGCAACAGAGAAAACTCCATTTTTCAGAAACAGCTTTTCCTTATAAAAGAACTTGAAAATAACTTTCCTAAGATCATTTTTTGACAGGTATATTAGTGAATAAAGGGATGCATTTTTAATAATTTTTGTATAAGCTAAATGTCTTTATAATAAAATATCCTTGTTGTTATTTTGGTATTTAATTGCTCAGAGTTCAAAGTGGACTCTTCTTAAATTGGTTTCTAATAGATATGAGATACTTATAATTGCTACAAGTCTCCAGTAAAGCTACAGTGTAAACTCCACATGACTAAATACTCTAGAAATGTATTTTTATTTAGAATTTACCTATAAGATACCTTGAATATGAGTGTATTCTACTTTACTAATGTTTATATATACTTTCATTTTCAAATAATGTTTGTTTCAACTATTTAGAAGTTAAAACTTCCTCATCATTGATTTAAATCAACATCCTGTATTAAATGCAAGTATTCTATTACAAAAGATAAGACTGCACCAGCCAGCCAAGATGCTGACATTTGGGCATGGTGATTATAGATGGTGACCATGGACAGCGATGTTCTTGCTGATGCGGCAGCGACTCAAGGCTGCTTTTTCTGTGCTGACCTACCCTTTGAGTCTTTATGCACATTTGCTTTGAAAAAGAAATACTTCTTGATTTTTTGCTTTGTCTAAACCTACTTCTTTACTGGACTTAAAAACATATACCTTGTTGTATCAGCTGTCCATGTCTAGAACCAAATTCTCTTATGTGTGTATATGTGTTTGACTTGCATTGTTTTAAAATATACCACCACTTAGTTAATATGCTTTAATGGCTATCTTATTAAAGAAACATATTCATTAAAAACATAAGTTGGTAGGGAAGTGATTATTTTTATTAGAGACTAAAGAAAACATATCTTTACATGAGAAACTACACAGTTATAATAAATTACTTTTACCAATTGAATGGTATATTAAAGATGTGCTCCTTCTAATATAGAGTGATACAGTATTAATAGGGCTAAGTTAATATGAAGCATGATATGGATCAATGCTTATGGCATTGGTAACCTTCATGTCATAACAAAGAAGAACAGGATGAACCCCTCCCTGGATAAAGCCATTTAACTTAAACAGAATGAACCTGAAAGTTTAGAGCCAAAGATCATGAAAGACTTCACTCAGACCACTTAAACTCAGGAAAATTCATTGTTTAATGGCATTCAAATAAATCAGAGTTCTTAGAAATAAATAAAAACAGTTTAATCTTTCTGCCTTTCTAAAAAAATTCAAGTTTACACATAAGGCGTGTTCAAGCTTTAAACAGTTTAAATTGCCTTCTCATAGTAATTTAAAAGATTATCACAAATTTAATCCCTGAGATATAATTTCTAAAATATTCTAAAATATAAGCGAAACTAAATCTGAATACCAAAATTAGTGATTTCCTTAAAAAATAAGGGACTAAATTCTCCCATTAAGCTCACTGTATTTGCAGATTTTTTTCAAGACAACAAATTATAGAGTACATTTCTTAAGTAAACACTGGGATAAAGGACACGTTCTCTTATTTCCCCACGTGATAACTGAACATAATAAAACTATAATATGTCTTTGTCACTCAGTAGTTAGAAAATAAAAGCCTTCATTGCTTTGGTGCCATATAGATTTATTTTGGGTAGACAACAATAACTTTTCACCATTTCCTATTTCCATGATTCTCAAAATTGTCCTTTTATTTATATATAGCAAAAAGTTTAGAAAACCTTGTGGCACTAACATTTTCACATTTCTTTGGGGATAAAGCTAGTTGATTTTCTTCTGACTTCTTCCATTTTTGGAATCCCACATGATTATAATATTAAAGTATACCAAGAAGAATAGGAAATGTAAGCAGGATACAAAACACACCAATACAGAAAATAAGTCCGGTAGTTTCTGAGGAGGATCCAGTGTGACAGTCATCATTGTCAGAAGGATCATAGCGATTACTGACATAAGAAACTATAAGAAGGGAGAAAAAAAAAAGTGTTACTGCATAGTATAAAAGGTAATAGTTGAATGTACTGGTAACATTGGTTTATAGTTGTAAATGAGTAGAACTGAACAGGACAGCTGGGGGTTCAATCTCTTCTACTAATGTATCTCAACCTAGTTTGTAGGTTAGAGTCATTTGGGGTTTAAAAAAAATCTCAATTCTCAGACCACATCCCAGAGCAATTAGAATCCCTGCAGAATGCTCTCCAAGTGATCCCCATGTGTAGCCAAAGCCTGAGAACCCCTTTAGACTTCATATCACTCAAGCACTAAAACAAGGTCCCTGGAATAGATAATATTGCCAGTCAGGCTTAAATTCACGGCATGCTCCAAGGGCCTATGGGATATACAATTCTAAGTTAATCTAAGAATTCATCTATGAAGAAGTTTTCCACAGCAAATGAAATATTACATTTCGTATTCACTGCATACTTTCAATGAGCTAATTCTATAATAGAGCATGGTGGGACACATGAAAGAAAATATCCTCTGGCTTCAGAGAGCTTCCAGTTTAGGGGGGGACTACATGAACTAGTTAAGTAAAATCACAGTCACATCTTATTAAATGCCAAAATGAGTAGTAGATATAATTGACTGGATTTATTGTAACTGTGCACCAGTTTCCTTTTTCAGACCGTACCACAATGTACTATACCACAGAACTTTCTGCAATGATGGAAATGTTCTAAATGTGTATTCTCAAAAAGTAGCTGCTAACCATATATGGCTACTGAGCATTTGAAATGTACCTGCTGTGACTGAGGAGCAGAATTTTTAATTTAACCATATGTGTCTGATGTCTACTGTATTGAACAATATAGCTATAGACTTTGAGACAAGGACACAAGCTGCTTAAGTAAATGTAGAGAACAAGCAGAAACGGAAGTCAGTGACTTTCACAATGAAAGTGGGACATATGGAACCCTGAAAGATGCCATAATGGCTGTATTATGACAGAATTGATGGGACCTGAAAAAAACTGTAATGCAGTGATCATTCTAGATGGAAGCCAAAAAGACTATAAAAGAGTAACCTATAACTTGCTTTGTCTATTCTCCCATTCATTAGTAAACCCACACCAATTAGGCTTTCACTCCAGTGAAACTGCCTTGGTAAAGATCTATAATGACCTCCACTAAACTAAACCCAGTAGTCAGTTCTTACTACCTTACTGGATCTCTCAGCAGCATTCGAAATAACACATCACTGATATCTTGAAACCCTTCCTTCACTTGGCTTCCATGACATCATTCTCTCCTGGTTTCCTCCGACATCACTAGTTAATCTTTCTCAGAACTTTGCTGGTTCCTTCTCAATCTATAATCACACCTTTGGTGAGCTCACTCATCCAGGGACGTGACTTTAATTACTGTCTATATACTGAAGATTCAAATTACTGTTCCCAACCTGGACCTCTCCCCTAAACTCTAGGCTCATATATCCAAGTTCTCTTTAAAATCTCTAATTGGGTATCTAAGAAGTGCCTAAAACTGTATATATAAACTATCCTCAATAAGATTAACATTTGACTTCTCATTAGGAAATATGGAGGCCATAAGACAGTGGGATGGATAATGTTCAGAGAGCAAAAATACCCTTCAAAAATGAAGGCGAAATTAACAAAGGCAATAGATTTGAAAATACTGAAATAACACAAGGTCTAGTCTACAAATACATTAGAATTGGAATAGAAAAACAGGAAGTAGTCAAGGAAATCCCCAAATATTTGTAAGCTGAACAACAGATGCCTAAATAATTCATGAACCAAAGGAAAAAATCAATCACAAGAAATGGACTATATTTTTAACTAAATTAAAAAAAATTTCAAAGTTTATGGAATATTGCCTAAAAATGGGGGTTTTATATGGGTTTGAATAACTATATAAAAATGGAGGAAGGGTCTCAAATCAACAACCTCTAACTTGAACTTTAAGAAACTAAATAAAGAGTAAACCAAACCCAAACATGGAAAAGGGTATAATAAAATTAGAACCAAAATCAATGACACAGAAAACAAAAAAACCAATAACCAAAAGTAGGTTGTGTAAAAATATTTATCAATGAAACCACCAAACTTTAGCTAGATGGACCAAGGGCAAAAGAGAAGGTACAAAGTCCCCAAGTTGGGAATGAAAAGTAACACCACTCCTTACCATATATAAAAATAAAAAAGGATGGTACAGGAATGTAATAAATAAACAACTGTTTGCCAACAAATTAGATAACAGATGAAGTGGACAAATTCTTAGAAAGACACACTACTGAAATTATGTCAAAAAATACAGAAAGTCTCAATAGATCTATTGATAAGAGATTGAATTAATCATTGTTTTAATTGAAATATAGTTGATGTACAATATTATGTTTCAGGTGTATAGCAAAGTGATTCAGTTATATATATTTCTTCAAATTCTTTTCCATTATAGGTTATTAAAAGATACTGAAAGTCGTTCCCTGTGCTATATAGTGAAAAAACCCTTGTTGTTTATCTATTTTATGTAGTTTGTTAATCCCATACTCCTATTTTATCCTTCCCTCCTGAATCAGTCATCTTTAAGATCCCATGAAGAAAAGATCCAGGAACGGATGGCTTCACTGGTGAGTTAAACCCAGTGTTTCTAGAGCAATTAATACCAGTCTTTCAGAACTCTTCCAGAAAGTAGAAAAAGAACCCTTCCTAACTTATTCCCTGAGGCAGGCGTTAAGCTTGATTCCAAAATGATACAAAGATATCACAAAAAAGAAAACTACAGACCAATATCCCTTATGAATATAAAGTGCAAAAGTCTTCTACAAAATACTGACAAACCCAAGAAAGTGACATATAAGAGATTATACACCATGATCAAGTAGAACTTATCCCAAGAATGCAAGGCTAGTTCAATATATAAAAACCAGTCAATGTAATATACCATATTGATAAAGGAGGAAAAAACACATGATAATATCATTAGACACAGGAAAAGCACTGGACAAAATCCAACAGCTTTTAATGATAAAAAATTCAAACTAGAAATAGAAGAGAACTTTCTGACCAAATAAAGGCCATATATAAAAACCCCACAACTACATCAGAGTTAATGTTAAAAAGACTGGATGATTTCCCCCTAAAATCTGGAAGAAGATAAGATGTCCACACTTGTCACATATGTTCAGCAAACTGTTGGAGCTGTCCAGCCAGGTAATTAGGCAAGGAAAAGAAGGAAAAGGCATCTAGATTTAAAGAGAAGACATAAAACTATCATAATTTATAGATGACATGATCTTGTATATAGAAAATCAAAAGGAACTCACTAAAAACAATACTAGTTCAATATAAAAAAAATCAGTTGTATTTTTATGCAGTACCAATGAACATTATGAAAACGAAATTAAGAAAACAATTCCACTTACAAAAGCATCATAAAGAATAAAATACTTACAAATGAATTTAACAAAAAAAAGTGCAAAACCTGCACATTGAAAACTTCAGACACTGCTGAAGGAGGTTAAAGAATAAATAATTGGAAATACATCCTATGTTCACAGGTTTGGGAGATGGTAATGTTCCACAAATTTAAATATGTACTCAAAGCAATCCCTATAAAAATCTCAACTGGGGTTTTAGAGAAATTAATGAGCTGATCCTAAAAAGAATACAGAAATACAATGGACGTACAACAGCTAAAACGATCCTGAAAATGAACAAAATTGGAGGACTCACATTTGCAATTTTGAAAACTAACTACAAAACCACAGTAATCGAGACAGTGTGGAAACAGCATAAAGATAATACAGATCAGTGAAACAGAACTGAGAGTCCAGAAATAAACCATTACGTTTAAGCTCTGTTGA